TAGATGTAGAATTATTACTTTTTCTATTATATTAAAATATATTTATTAGAAAATAAATAAAACTTTCGAATTTTTGGAAAATGAAACATAACTATTTCTTTTGCCCCTAATTTTCAAAATTCAATTAAAATTAAGGACAAAATTGGTATTTTAGTTTCTTTCTTAATAATTTTAAAAATTTTATTTCCTTTCTAATAAATGCATTTGAGTATGATAGCAGAAATTAATAATTTATTGTCCATATTTCCTTTCTTTATTCTTATTTTATTAAATTTTATTTTCCATATATTTACAAATTTTAATCAAATAATATAAAATTAAATCCTATTAAAAATAACGTTAGAATTTTTTTAAAAGAAAGAAATTAAACATACCTAAATAATGTTTTAACATTTAATCAAATAGAAGTAAATAATAATTAATAATCTTAGAAAGTACTTTTTGTAAATTATTACTAGTATAATTTGAAACTCTCTAAACTCATGTCAATCTAACATGACTAATTTATTTACTACTATAATCTCTTGAGGAAATATTTTATTAGAAGTAATTCATTCAAGATCGCTTAGCAAATAAGCATGCAGTGACGGATTCATAATTTTTTTTGGAGTTTCTATTTATAATATATATAAAAAAAATGTTGACGGATTTACTAATTTTATCAACGGAAAGGTGTCAAGAAAAAATTTTAGAATTGTCGAACGAAAATGCTTATTAAATTTTCTTATTTACCAATTTTTAGGGGTGTCCACTTTACTTGTGGATTTGCCAGTATGAGTTTAATTCCCTTATTATTTAAATTTAAAATTATAATTAGAATGTAAACTATATTAATAAAATTTTTTAGTATATACAAGTTTTTTTATAACTTTTTAAAGAAAAAGGTCAATCACCTGGGAGTCCAAATTATTTGGATATATTTTATTTCTTTCTTTTTTGTTAAAATAATTTTAACTTTATTTTTAATAGGAGTTAATTTTATATTTTTATTAAATTTTGTAAATATTGAGGAAATAAAATTTAATAAAATAAAATAAAAAGGAAATAAAATCAAGGTAATGGATTCAAAATTATTATTCTTTACTAACATACCAAAATGTATTCGTAAGAAAAGAAAATTATAATTATTACGAAAGAAAATATAGTATCATTTTCTCTTAATTTTAAGTTGAATATTTAAAATCAAGGGAAAAATTATACTTTTGTTTCCTTCTTAAAAAATTTTAAAATTTTATTTCTTTTCTAATAATTATATTTAAATTATTTGGATATGTTTCATTTCATTCTTTTTGCTAAAAATAATTTCTAGCTTTATTTTTAATATGATTTATTTTTATTTTTATCAAAATTTGTAAATGTTGAGGAAATAAAATTTAATAAAATAAAATAAGGAAAGGAAATAAAATTAAGATAATTGACCTATAATTATTACTCTTGACTATCATACCAAAATTTATTTATTAATAATGAAATAAAATTTTTAATAAATACATTTTAATATGGTAAAATAAGTAATAAGTATAGATCTATTATCCTAAGTTGTAATATTCTCTTATTTTTATGCAAAATTTGATCAAAGGACTAGATTAACGTCATTTTAAAGATTTGGGACTATTGTGAAATAATTTAAAGTTTAGGATGAAAATGAAATCCAAATGAAAGGTTTGGGACTATAATACACTTTACCCTGCAAAATATACAAGTTGGGACTATAAAGACACTTTATCTTGCAAAATATGCAAGTTTTAATGTCATTTTCACAATATTTACATAGTAGTAATTAACACTAATTGATTTTTTTATTTACATTAATTAATCATATCAATTACATGACATTTTATTTTTTTATGATTGATTATCTTTTAAAGATGGTCAAAGAATTACATTTTGGTTTTTTTTTTCATTTCTTAAAAAAAATTTCAAGTTTGTACAATTTTTTAGGATTATTTTTTTTTGTATAAATGAAGTCATGGACTAAAAATATGAAAAGAATTATATGTATTAAAATTTAAATCCAAATCTGTTAAATATCATCTTTTAAAGGTTATATATAAATCAATTTAGTTAAATTCTAAATTTATATAACCATTTTCATTATCTTTTATTTTTTATTTTATTGAGCCAAATTATTTTAATTTAAATTAAAATAAATATTTAAAAAATGTTATAAATTAGAGCTAATAAAAAAAATTTATTTTGAATTTGGCTTGATCTTAATTTGGTGATTTGGATTGACCATGAAGTTTAGACCAAACCTATTTGACCTAAGCATAACAATAGGCTTTTTTTTTTTTTTTTTTCTAACTAAAAAACCCCATACGACTTGGAGCCTTTGTACAACACTATTTGTCAGGCAAAAAGTAATCTTGTCTTGTGTATGATAAGGCCAAGACATTTTAAAGAAAATCAACTTTTATTTTTTATTTAAAAATGATTCTTTTACTTTTTAAATTTAAAATTATAATTAAAATATAAATTATATTAATAAAGTTCTTTAGCATATACAAGCTTTTTATAACTTTTTAAAAATACATGTCAATCACCTGTGAGTCAAAATTATTTGGATAAATTTATTTTTTTTGTTAAAAATAATTTCTAACTTTTTTTTAATAGGATTTAATTTTATATTTTTATAAAAATTTGTAAATATTGAGGAAATAAAATTTAATAAAAGGAAATAAAATCAAAGTAATGGATTCGAAATTATTACTCTTTACTCTCATACCAAAATGAATTTGTTAGAAAAAAAATTTTATAATTATTTTGAAGGAAAATATAGTATCATTTTCCCTTAATTTTAAGTTGAATTTTTAAAATCAAAGGAAAAATGACACTTTTGTTTCCTTCTAAAACATTTTAAAATTTTATTTCTTTTCTAATAATTATATTTAAATTATTTGGATAAGCTTCATTTTTTTCTTTTTGCTAAAAATAATTTCTAGCTTTATTTTTAATATGATTTAATTTTATATTGTTTTATCAAAATTTGTAAATATTGAGGAAATTTAATAACATAAAATAAGGAAAGGAAATAAAATTAAGATAATTGACCTAAAATTATTACTCTTTACTATCATACCAAAATTTATTTATTAGTAATGAAAATTTTTTTTTAATAAATATATTTTCATATGGAAAAATGAGTAAACAGTATAGATTTGTTATTCTAAGTTGTAATTTTCCCTTATTTTTATGCAAAATTTGATCAAAGGACTATATTAACATCATTTTAAAAGATTTGGGACTATTGTGAAATAATTTAAAGTTTAGGATCAAAATAAAATCCAAATGAAAGATTTGGGACTATAAGTACACTTTACCCTGCAACAAACACAAGTTTTAATGTCATTTTCACAATATTTATATAGTAGTAATTAACATTAATTGAGTTTTTTATTTACATTAATCATATCAATTGCATGACCATTTTATTTTTTATAGTCAATTATCTCTTAGAAATGGTCAAAGAATTATTTTTTTTCCCTTTTTTCACAAACAATTTTTTTAAAAAAAGTTCAAATGAGGCCGTAAAAATAAAAAAAGAGTTATAGGTATTAAAATTTAAATTTCAAATCTATTAGATGATATCGTTTAAAGATTATATATAAATCAATTTAGCTAAACTCTGAGTTCACATAACCATTTTCATTATCTGTTATTTTTTATTTTACTGAACAAAATTTCTTTTAATTTAAATTAAAAGAAATATATAAAAGAAAAGTTGGAAATTAGAGCTAATAAAAAAAAAATTCTTTTGAATTTGGCTTGATCTTAATTTGGTGATTTGGATTAACCATGAAGATTAGACCAAACTTATTTGACTCAAGCATACCAACAGCCTATCTTTCTTTTCTTTTCTATTATTTTCTATTTTTCTACCTAAAAAAAACCCAAACAGCTTGGCACCATTTACAAAGAAAATCAAAAATTGAAAATAAAAAAATTATAAATATTAAAATTTATTAAATAATACTTCTTATAATAATTATATAAATTAATTAAATTAAATCGTAATTCATCAAGGGCCGTTTCTAATAAAGCTTCCGAAACAAAGACTTTTCCTAATAAAGCATAAAAAAAAAAAAAAGGGCAGTATAGGTATAAATTATTAGAAGAATATTATTAAAACGAAAACCAAATTGTGAAGGAAAAAAAAAACCAAAGAAAAGGGATAAAAACAGAGGCTACTGCAGATAACCGACAAAGGGAAAACACATCGGAGACAGAGAATTGGGGCTCTACTAATAACTCGACACGTGTAAATGCTAAAGTTGACCACTTTAAAGATTAGGTTTCGAAGTCCACCAGACGTTTCCAAGTTCAACACTTCAACACAGATATATTCCAAAGTAATAAAGCAAATAAAAACAAATGCAAACCTATATTTTACTATTCCACACAATGTTTAAATGAAGAGGAAAAAAAAAAAAAGAATTGGTGTTATTTTCATGCACACTTTGCCTTCTTCAATTTTTTTTCTCATTTTGATTTGAGAAAAAGGAAAATTCAATTTCTATTTTTAGGTAAAAAATCATATATTGATCACCTAATCACAAATTTAAGTGTTATATGATATTTGATTTGTTTAATCATAATTAATATGGGAAAAATTAAACTAAGTGTTATATGATATTTGATTTGTTTAATCATAATTAATATGGGAAAAATTAAACTATGTACAAAATGAAAATCATTGGAAAATAATTAAATTATCAAGTTTTATTTTTCTTTTTTTTTTGTCTCAACATAATTGTATTAGGACAATTAATGTCAATATGTGGGGTATATGTAAGAGAGGTAAGCATTTCACCTATAATTTTTTTTATTATAATCCTATAATTATTTTATTATAATAAAAAAATTATATAGAGATTTATCACTTATAAATATGAGTTTCATATACAAAATTTTAAATTATAATACAAGATTATATACAATGAAAGAATATAATGAAAAAAATCTGATTTTTTTACAGTGGAAAAGTTCAAACTGATCAAAATGCAAACATAGAAAACTTCAGCTGAACATGTATACTTGACTTAACATGTCAGTCAGGTTTTTTCCACAATCTCTCTTTTTTTATCTCTCTCCTACCATCGACTCTCTTTTACCCCTTTTAGTAACCTAAAGAACATGAACCCACAAAAAGTTCTCTCACCGCTTAGCCAAGACTAGAAAGAAAGGTGAAGGGAGAAGAGAAATAAAGTAGGTGAGAAGAAAAAATGGGGAGAGGGAGAGTTGAGTTGAAGAGAATAGAAAACAAAATCAACAGGCAGGTTACATTTGCTAAGAGAAGAAATGGGTTGCTCAAAAAAGCCTATGAGCTCTCTGTTCTCTGTGATGCTGAGGTTGCTCTCATCGTTTTTTCTAACCGTGGCAAGCTCTATGAGTTTTGTAGCAGCTCTAGGTATATTCCATATCTTTCTCCTTCTCAATCTCTCTCTTTTTATTTTTATTTTTATATTGGATGCTTCCATCATACTAAGATCGAGGAGTTGGAGTCTTGGTTTGTGGGTTTTTCTTTTAGTCAAAGATTAGTACTTTGGTTTAGATTAATCAAGCTAGTTTTTGAGAAAGTTTGATTAGGTTTCAGAAGTTTTGATGAGCAAAGACATGTTTTTTTTCTTATTTATTTCTTTGCATCGTATGGTTTAGGTTATTTTTATTCTTTTTTTTTCTTAAAAGGTTATTAAGAAAAAAAAAATTTTCTTTTCTTTTTTTCTGAAAGAAATTTTTTTTTTTACATGGATCACTCTTTTTTAACCAATGGACAATACCGCTTATGAATTATACATGCATCTCTTCAATTATATTTGTAGTTTACAACAAAACCAGCTTGTCAAAAGTGAATTGGAGTTTATAGCCCTTGCTAGGGATTTAAGATCGATGGGGGAAATAGGGCTTAGGCCTTTGAGAAGTGAGAAGATGAAGATCAAAGCAGCAGATCCTTCTTGATCCCAGTTATCTGTAGTTCTTTAGACAATAAGGTGGGCAGATTAACAGGGTTTACTGTTATGATTTGGTGCCAGAGATGTGATGGTTTTGCAGTGCAAGTCTGCTTCTTTACTTCTAAAGCTGCAAGCTTGTAGAAACCCTTAGCAAAAAGACAACTATTTTGGCTAATTTCTCTTCTATTTGTTCATAAGGGAAGAGGTTGCTTTAATGTCTCACCCATTTCTGTGCTTGTCCTTTTATTAATAAATCTTTTGTTTTAAAAAAAAATACTAACATACTTTAGGAATGAATCTAAAATGTGACTTGAAATGATTGTTTTTGGATTTTAGGATTCAGTTATCTAATTATTTATTTAATTATTTCAATAAATCCCAAAATTAAAAAAAAAAAAATTTTTGCTATCTAGGAATTTTATTACAAATATTCAAGTTTTTTTAGGTCTAATTTATATTAAAAATAGAGTTTCAAAAGAATTTGTTTAGGGTATCTGCTTTTGCAAATTTAATTATTAATCAATAAAATTGAATCCGATTTAGGAAAAAAAAAGTTCTAAAAGAAAACTATAGATATTTTGTATTAGTATTGTTAAAAGCAACAAGCTTCTTTAAATTTGGCACTAATAATAATAAAAAAAAAAGCAACAAGCTTATACAAGTCTGCACAAGATCATAGGGTATTTTATTCAATTATATTTTTTGGAAAATAAATTATATTGCTGACAGTCGGACTAAATACGAGATCTTTTGCTCGAGTGCTTTGGTATCATGATTTTAGTTATGTTGTAGCTTGTCTTTCTTAATGTCGTCAAGTTACCAAGCATTAGTTTGGTACATTACTTGCTTGTTTCATTTCATTCTTGTTTGATGCACTGATATTTTCATTATCCTTCGGTTTCTTTCTCCCCCTCTTTGATTCTTAGCATGATGAAAACACTTGAAAAATACCGGAAGTGCAGTTATAGTACACTGGACACCGCCCAATCAATCAGAGAGACACAGGTGGGTTTGAAAGTTTTTCTTGTTATGATTTTGACAATCAAGATGCAATAGTTTGTACTACTATTTTAGAACATGAACACTATTGAATTCCAACATGTTGTGATCTTTTATTCTTTGTCAAATACCAGTCATCTTTAATCTGAATTAAAAGTAAACTCCACTGCCTTCTATTGTGTGATCTTCTTTTGGTTTTTCTGTCGTAAGCAGGCCAGTTATCAGGAATATTTGAAGCTAAAAGCAAGAGTTGAGGTCCTACAGCGATCTCAGAGGTAATGTACAAAAATTCATGGCCTGAAATCAACATCTTTTTTTATTTGGAAATACGAAATGGTCAAGTTGAATTATGCCCCTCAAATCCATTCTTTTAATCAATGTTGTAGAAACCTTCTTGGTGAGGAATTGGGTCCATTGAACACAAAGGATCTTGAGCAGCTCGAAAATCAACTGGAGACATCCTTGAAGCAAATAAGATCAACAAAGGTAAAACAAATTCCACCAAAGAATTTTGAAAATGCATTAGGAATAATTTTGATGATAAACTTTTTTATCATGATACTAAAGAAATGAAATGTCCTTCTTGACCTTCCCTTAAGTAGTGTCCATGATTGAGCCTAGGTAGGCTCCCAGGCTTTATCTGTCCAAGAATCTTATCCCAAATTTGGAGTGAAATGGGCCTGGCTTCATAGCTTGGAACCTTAGGCGGTAACAGTGCAAAGCATAGGCAAGTTCCAGCAAATGAAAGGAAGACAAATTGCTATACACTCCATGGCAGTATATAAAAGAAGTTACAAAATGCCCTTTAATGATTAGGTCCAGAATGTTTCCCACAAGTCGAGAAGGCTTTAGCCTATGGTAAAAGTGGCAAAGGATTGGAATGAAACTTTCAGTTGTTGGCTGAATGGAGCTCAGTTTGCATACAAAACATGCATTGAGATGCAGTATTACTTAGAGTTGTAAAATGACTTGCTTTCTGTTGGAAAGTAACTTTCACCATGCCACATTGCTGATTTGATGACAAATTTGGATATTCGTCTTTCAAGGTTTAACTTTTGTTGGCCTGCAGCCTATACTAAACTTAACCAGCCAAAGATGGGAGTCATTTGCCATAGTTATTTGATCTGCACACTTAAATGTTTGATATTGTCATATTCTTATTGTTCTTTTAAATGCTTTGCAGACTCAAGCCATGCTTGATCAGCTTGGTGATCTTCAAAAAAGGGTATCAATTTATTTTGATACCTATGTTATTACTATGGTTCTCTATACATGCTTTTGATTAATCTTGCCCTTATTTCTGATACAGGAACAAATGCTGGTTGAAGCCAACAAATCCATGAGAAGGAAGGTATAGAACTTGTCACCATCTGGTGAATTTTAATTCAAGGTTTCAATTTCCATTTCTGTAAACAAGGTATGGTCAACATTATTGACTTCTTCTTTTATAAAACAAGGACCTCATTTTTTCTGAACTCTTTGAAGATATGGACTTGAATAGATTTATATTGTTGTTATTTCAAAGCTAAGTTGATTGGAACTTGATGTTTAATCTAATTAATTCATACAACCACTTTTAAAAGTAATTATTTAGCAGATTTGTGATCCTAAATTAGTTATTTTATTTCTGCTGTATTAATCCTTGTTCTCATACTTTAGTTGGAGGAATTGAGTGCGCAAGTTCCTCTTCAACTAGCATGGGAAACTGGAGAGCAAATCATTCCAAACAATCACCTCCAAGCTCAATCAGAGGCATTTTTCCAGCCTCTAGTGGGCAATTCCTCCTTGCAAATTGGGTACCCTTTCTTTCAATCAAGTTCATTTGACCTATTTCCTTGCATCAATTACCTAGGACACAGTATTTCTTTGATCACCTAATATTGTTCATCAATATCATATGCTGCAATTCCTACTTTTTTGCAGATATAATCCTGTTTTTTCAGATGAAATGGATGTTGCAGGACATAACCAAAATGTCAGTGGATACTTTCCAGGATGGATGCTCTGATTATAAAACCCTCACATATAAGATTGATAATTTACTGGGTAGAAATATCTTCCAGCTGTTGTTGCTTTTATTTTTCCTTTTCAAACTATGATCTGATGCAACTTGTAATTATATTTATTAAAGACAATAAACATAAGTATAAAACAATAATAAAAAATTGTTGCAAATATAATAATATTTTAGAACGATATCTTTAATTATTGCATATTATGATCGCAAAAACCCCCCATTTTCTAGTAGTGGTATACTTTACATATGTATAAAAATGTATGTGGCATGTTTGGATAACTTATCTTTTTCCTCGATATCTAGGTTCCTTTTGGATGAATGATGATATTGATTTTAGTGAGATTAAAAACAATAATAAAAATTATTATAATTACGATTAAAAAAATTTATATTAAACGAATCTCACTAAAATTCATATTAAAATTTGATGGTACGATAAACTCAGTCGTATTGCACTGGAGATGCAGTGGAATTCAAATCTAACCTTATTTTTTATTAAGTCAATCAAAGGTGAAGATGAAGAGGAAAAAAAGACAAAAAAAAAAAAAAAAAACAAGAAACCTTTTTACATGAAAACTTAGATTAAACCACTCACATGAAAAACCAAAGAAATTGAAATTAAATTTAAATACAAGACATTCCGTCAGTCTGTTCTTTGTTTACCATTGCTGTGATAAAATTGTTACACCTAAACTGGATAAGACAACCATGTGTTCCTTGCCTTCCTTTTGCTTTCTCTCTATTTCCATTTTGATGTTTATTATTTCACGTTTTGCACCAACTACAAATGAATGATGGATCATGTAGAAAAGAAAACGTGGGTGAGTACCTACCAAAGAATTAAGATATTATCAAGAAATTTTGAATCCAAAATTTCTAACTTTCAAAAAAAAAAATCTGTCATGTCGATGTATAATGTTGGATTCTTAATTTCAATACAATAACTTCAAATAAAAAAAAAAAACAATATTTCAAGTTTCTTGGCCCCATAAGCTTAACATTTTGGTTATGTCTCTGTGTCACTGGTCGAAACTTAAACTTCGAACTCGCGTGATTTCGAGATCTGTGTATTCACTCATCCGACGTTCCAAATTAGTCTTCCTGTCACGATTTACACCCTTGTGAGATATTGTCCGCTCTGATCTATTCTGACTTCATGGTTTTGTCCTACAAAAAGGACCTCACAAGATGAAGTTAATGTGAACCCTTATATACCCCAATGACCCTCCTATTATGTTGGAGTGGATCGAACGGTTTAGAGCTGACTCTGATATCACTTGTCACGGGTCGAGACTTAAGCTCTAAACCCGCGTGACTCTAGAACCCGGACATTCACCCTTCCGACATATCTCAGATCAGCCTACCCGTCACAATTCACACCCTTGTGAGATATTGTTCACTCTGGCCCTCCTGACCTCACGATTTTGTCCTACAAAAGACACCTCACAAAACGGACAAAACGGAGATGGTGTGAACCCTTATATATCCCAATGACTTTCTTATTATATTTGATGTGGGATTCAGAACTCGTCCTTAAATCCGTGACACCTGACCTAACCTGACAGCCCTCTTTAATTGGTCACAAGCTGCAATTTTTGTTATTCTTTTGCTTACCGGTTTTTGTTTTTATTTTTATTTTTTATAATACGTTTATGGATATTTTTAAAATTCATTTGGCTTTAATCTCGTTTTCGATTAATTTTAAAATCTGAAAAATAATTTTTTAATACATCGGCTTGGTGTATTTATGATTTTTTTTCTTTATTTTTAACTAGTAATTAGACATCCAATTTTTAACATTATGATACAACTCTTTTCTTTAGCCAGATGAAAATGCTCATATTAATAACTAAAATTCATGTAGAGTGGTTTCAATTAGGAGTACAATTAAATCATAAAAATTATGGGCAGACTTAGGCTGGAATGGGGAGAATCATAACATTCTCATGACTCTGCTCAAAGTAATTAACTATAACTTTAATTTTGGAGAAGATGAACTGTGATTTCAGTTAGGGATGAATGGTTGGCTCAATTGGCAAGAATTGTTTTTTTTTTAACATTAAAAGGAGAAAGCAATTATCATGGTTGGCTCAAATGGCTCAATTTCTCTTGTCATTATTTTTAAAAAAAATTATTAAACACTTTGAAAGGTCACTTAAGAAAAACAATACTCTAAAACTTATAATTTATTAAGTAATTTTTTCTTAGGGTATATACTCATAGCTAAGTCTTACTATTTGTTCATTATTTGAAGCTTATATAAAGTATTTTTATATTTTAATGTAATCTTTAATTTGTAGCACATTATTTAAATACATACAAATTGATAAATTTTGCTTAATTTTTTAATTTCAATAACTATCAGCAGCCTCTTAATATTTGATCATTTGAACCAAATTATTTGTTTTGGTGTCTCCCATGACAAGAAAAAATATATATTTATATCAATATGAATAGATCAAATAAAGAAACATTAATTTTTCTCTTAAAATTTATATTATTTTTTATATTTTCACTTTGAATTATTTCTTAGAAAAATTAGAAATTGTGGGAAATATCTTTAAACGACTCAATTTTATAGTCAATCTATGTCCGTCATTTAAGCAGTGGAAATTAACATTTTCCATTATTGTGTCTAATTTTTTGTTCGATTCATGTTTGATTTTATTTCTCAACCAAAGTGGTGTCATATACAGTATTGGTTTCTTTTCTTGCGTGGTATCTAAGGGACAATCTTTAATTTTGTGATGTTTCAGTCAAGTGTCAACCCAACCATTTTAGTTTATATTGTTTGTTCTCGCTTCTTTTTTTTTTTTATAAAATTTTTTTATTAATTAAAATATAATTTAACAACACATTTGCTCAGTAAAAAGAAATTGATATTAATAAATATTTTTGTATAAAAGAAGTTACAACGTAAAATAAAAAATATATATATATGTTTAAATTTGAATTTTTAACTTATTAAATATTATTTTTTAAAAATATCTGCATAAATTAGGCAAGTTAATACATATGTTTATTAATAAGTACTCTCTTGATCCCACTATCACAATACCATTTTTTAATTTGGACATTTCAATATTTGTAATTATTTTTTTAAAAAATTAATTGTATATATATATATAATATAAATCACTTGATTTAAAGTTTTTAATCAATAATAAAATTCAAATTAAAAAGATTTAGGAAAAAAACAATTATTTAAAAACAAAAAGGAAAATGAAAAAAAAAGTTGGAAAAAGGTAGATGTTGACACGACGACGTATAATAGGTCAAAAAACTTGGGCGCCTTGGCCTACGCCCCTAACAACTGCAAATGTAGAATCATTGTAAGTCTATTCCTCTCGACAAATCCCTTCATCGAGAAAAAAGGGGTAAGCATATATAAATTAAAATATGAATAATCTCGTAATTTATTGATAAAATAACAAAATTTTAATTTTAATAATTTAAATTTAAATTTGTAATATTAAATATAAAAAAAAAGACAAAAAACCATATAGAAGTAATGAAAGAAAAATATTACAATGTTACTTATGAATATTGGTTAAAATAATTTCTATAAAAGATTGTATAAAAATTAATGAATTATTATTTTTTGAATTTAATATACTTATTAAAATAATATTGTAAATAAAATTAATCGATATTTACATTAAACATTTGATTTAGTAATTTACATACAATTCATTTTAATTTAATATACAATAAAAATAATAAAGATGTAGCATTGATTATTAATTAAATAATATTAAAAATAATATGCATAAAAGAATGTGATTGAGAAGTCAATATAATAATTTGCTACAATATTTCTTTTGATATTTTAAGAAATATCTTTACCAAAATTTCTTAATTGATACCTCAAAAATCTAAATTAAACCCATTAAACATTAGTCATAATTCTAAATGAATCTCAAGAAAAATAATTTGATTATCAGTAAAATTAAGTATCAATATATAAAAAATATTTTGTAGTACAAATACCTAAATTAAAGTTAATCGAAAGTTTAAACAATTAATCAAAATAGCCCAATAAACTTAAAAATATATTTTAAAAGTAAAAAAAAAATCTCAAATTATATAATTCAAGACCTTAATTATCCTCAAAATCATATTTCATACCAAACGCAAAAATTATATACAAAAATTTCAAATAATTATTATATTAAATTGAAATAATTCAAATACATCAATTAAAATTAATTAAAATTATAAACAACTCATAAAAAACAAAATAACACAATTGACCTAAAAAAAGTCAAAATTCAAAAGTAATCTTAAATTATATAATTAAAGACTTTAATTACCCTTCAATTTATATTTTATCCCAAATCTTAATTGGTATTGTATATATAAGTAGGAATAATTTTAATATATTTTATAGATTATAGATATACTTTTTAAGTAGCATACAAATATATTTTTTAATATTTTTTATGTAATATTTTTTGTAAATAAATAAAATTGTGCATATTTGAACTCTTTTTAGATTTTTAAATTTTTTAATAGTCAATTTAATAAAATTACAAAAAAATTACTATAGTGAAGGGCAGCACTAAAACTAGTCGGAACATAGGGACAAAATGTAAAATCAAGGCGGCCTTGAGAGCAGACAACAACGATTGTAGCAGGAGTTTGAACCAATGAGAGTTCGACAACGCTTTTAACGAAACCATCCTTGTTTTCTAATACCACCCATCTCTTCAGACAACGACTGTAGAAGGAGTTTGAACGAATGAGCTCTCGACAACGCTTTTATCGAAACCATCCTTGTTTTCTAATACCACCCATCTTTCCATCTAGTCTGCGTTTCTTCTTCTAACGTAGTTTTCATCTTTTCTAGATACGATATCTTTACTTAATCTGCCTCTATATATATATTTATGTTAATATGTGTGTGTTTTCAAGAGCTAATAAGGAATCTTTCTTTTTTTTTTTTTTCTGACGAAAGATACCCAGAGAAAGTGAGCAAGAGAGAGAGAGAGAGCAATCCGTTCCTTTTCTGTCTGAACCCAGTGTCAGTTTCTTGCTTCTGTGATAATAGAAGGGAAGGAAAGAAGGGTATCATCAGCATGGGGAGGGGTAGGGTTCAGCTGAAGAGAATAGAGAACAAGATCAACAGGCAAGTGACTTTTTCAAAGAGAAGGTCAGGTTTGTTGAAGAAAGCCCATGAGATCTCTGTCCTTTGTGATGCTGAGGTTGCTCTCATTGTCTTCTCAACCAGAGGCCATCTCTTTGAATACTCAACAGATTCCAGGTACTGTCTTTCTTAATTTAATACTACCTCCTCCAACATATTTCATGATCTTTTCTTAATTTTCTTCTTCTACGCCTTCAAATGACAACAATAATACAGAAGAAAAATTAAAAAAAAACACCTGGTGAAATAGTTGTCTTTGTAATAAACAGCAAAAAAACACAGTTAAAAGAACAACAAACAGGTAGAGAGAAAGAGAAAGTACTGGATATGGAGGAAGGGATCTCGTTGTGGATATGTTAGGGTGCATAAAATCTTATCTTTTGTTTGAACAAAGCTTCAAGAATTTATGACTTTCTTGAGACTAATTGATTATCCTACAAAACAATTTGGGGTTAGCAGCCATATGTTGGAAAGGAAAGTTAAATCACCAATAAAAAACTAGAGAAAAATTTTCTGGTTTAGGAAAGAAAACAGATGAGCAAAATTTGACATATTTAACAAGAAGTAGTTGAAACTAATGATAGTTCATCAGCTTTCATCTGGTGAGTTGAGCTGTGGGGGGTGGGGGGGAGGCTGAAGATTGCCATGTTTAACTTGACAGCTGCTTCCATATGTAATGGTAAGGCTTGCATGAAATGTTATATGACTAGGAGACTGAGGAACTTCGAAGCATGTATACGTCTTCATCAGATAATAGCAGTAGTGTCTAGGGGATGTTTGGGACAGTCTTTTGGCTCTCTTTTTGGGCACATACTTATGGTTTTTAACTTTTGGATAATGTGTTTTCTCAGGAAAATGAAAAAGAACTCAATTCCAGCCCTTAATGGAATATAATAAGCAGTTAATTTATTATTCCAAAAATAGCATTCTTTTATTTTTTTTTTCTTAGCCAAAGGGATTTCATTAATAAACAGCAATATGAGAACTTAACAAACTAATTGCCTGGTAGCTTGACTGTAAATTTAACAATTTTAGATATAAAAGTAATGGTATAAAATTAAAATTTTATATGAGTTTGATGAAAACTAAAAAAATTGTTTTTTTGCCTCAACATAAATTGTAAAATGATAATTACCTGACAGCTTGGCTGTAGATTGAACAATTTAATTTAGATATAATATGAAAACAATATAAAATATATATGATGGTATAAAATTTTGATAAAAAATCTTATGAATTTGGCAAAAATTAAATAATATTTTTTGTATATGTTAATATAAATTGTGATATAATAATTGTAGACATCCATCTGAATGCCGAGTTAATCAGAGTCAATTTTTATTATTATTTGTTATTATTATTGTTATTATTACTAGTGTTATAGTATAATATATTATATTACTATTATTATTATTTTGTATTATTATTATTATATTATGATATGGTATATTATATTATTATTGTATTATTATTTTTATTTTCTTTCCTTTTCTCTTGGTTGGGGTTTGAATAAGGAAACTGAATTTGGAATTATCCGAAATAAAAGGGGAATGTATTCACACAACCAAAGGACTTTTAATCTATATCTAACGATAGATAGTATCATAGATTTATATGTTGAACCATAAAAGAAAATACATATTAAACCGATCACAAGAATACCAGTTATCGTACCTATTATCCAAAGAGGAATCTTTCCAGTAGTATCGGCCATTTATCCCGCTTCCCTCCACATTTCATCAAGTGGTCATGCTAAAGACATAAACAGTCATAGATAATTATGAGATGTAATCCTTCGACAATAACTTTTATATTTTATGTGAGTTTGATATAAACAAATAAAATTACAAAAATTATCAAATCTATTTAATTGTACCTATTTTGTACTTAATTTTCTTTGAATAAATTAATCATGTTCAAAAAGGAAAAATGAAGTTCCCAGTCAACTAGGATTTCTTTTTCTTTTCTTTTCTTTTTTTGTCTCAGCCATTTCTTCTTTCTTCTTTCTTCTTTCTTAAACCAAGTAATTGGAAAACTTGCTCAAAGCTCAAAACCAATTAGCTATCTGTTTTTCAAAGTCTAGCATGCATGCTTACTCTTTGCTAGCTCAATTTTATTAATAGAATGCTCTACTTGCTAGCTCAAATGTTTCGTTAATAGAATTCTTTCTATTTTCTATAGAGAATTTTTATTCTTACTCTTTGCTAGCATCAAATTTCTGTTTTTTTGGTTGATTCTTGTTGATTTTGTTGGGGAGATGTCTTATTCATAAACACCCTGTAGGCTAATTGAAAGGAATCTTGAAGATTTAGCATGGCATTTCTGCTACATCAGATTGCAAATTTAAACAAAAAAGAAAAAGAAAGGAAATATGAAACAATCCTAAAAGCTCTTAAGTTAACCAAAAACCAGTACATTTTTAATCCTTTCATTAATTTATAATTTTCATTCTTTTATGCTTGAAAATTCCATAAATCATCTTTCTCTCTTCTGCAGCATGGAGATGATCCTTGAACGGTATGAAAGATATTCTTATACAGAAAGGCAACTTGCTGCAAATGAAATTGAACAAAATGTAAACTCCCACACTCTATGGAGAAATTTCCAAGTTCTAAAATTTCCCAAACATGCATCTTTTTCTTTTTGCAGCTGTCTTGCAGATGCTTCAGTGAGCTATCAAAGCAGTGGTTTTGTTCTTTTGCAAATAAATAAGGGTAACAATAGGAAACTACTGTATCTTCAAAGGAAATAAAAGATAATTTCATTGTGTTTCAGGGAAGCTGGACGCTGGAACATGCTAAACTTAAAGCCAGAATGGAGGTTTTACAAAGAAACCAAAGGTACAAAATTGATTCCCTCAAGGTTTCAAATGTATTTGGCCATCTTAAACCTTAAAAGGAGAAAGCAAGTACCATTGTTTTCTATTTTTTTCTAAGAAAAATGATATTTGTAGGCATTATATGGGAGAAGATCTTGAGAAATTGAGTCTGAGAGAGCTTCAAAATTTGGAGCAACAACTTGATTCTGCCCTTAAACACGTAAGGTCAAAAAAGGTATAAATAATCACTACAAGAATATGATTAGCTTTTGATTGTGCAGCTTAGGCCTAGAAAATAACTTGACCTTGAAAGTTGAAATGATTCACTTACAGAATCAGCTCATGTTTGAGTCAATTTCTGAGCTTCAGAAGAAGGTACATCTTGGCTGCTCATAAGATTTTCTTACCTTAGCTATATAAGCAGAAGTAGATTGCTTGACTGCGAATTCTTCCATATGCAGGATAAAGCATTGCAAGAGCAGAACAACATGCTTGCAAAGAAGGTGAAGTTAAATCTCCATATCCACAAATATGAATTCCATGAACCTTCTCCTCTACAGCTTCTTTCTTGTGTGATAAGTACTAAAATGTTCATGATGCAAAAATAGGTGAAGGAAAAGGAGAAGGCAGTTGCTCAGCAGAGACAATTGGAGGAGCAAAATAACTGCCATGACCCGTCCTCAATGCTTCTGCCACAGCCAATGCAGTCCTTGAACACCAGGTTCTCTTCCTCTCTCTCTCCCTATGGAAAACTGACGTGGGATTAGAAACAAATCTATAAAGAATTAAAGTCATACAATGACATAGTGCCATGTCTAATCTCATTAAGAGTACTAAGGTGGGTTGAGTTAATACTTTGTGCAGTGGCAACTATGAAGCAAGGAGCAGTGGAAGAGAGGAGGAAGGTGATCCAGGACAAGATCCCGTCGCCGATGCGCTGTTGCCACTTTGGATGATCACCACGTTGAATAACTAAAACCAACTCCTTTCTTTAGTATATTGTGTAATTTTGATGCATATATATATATGCCACCCAACTTGATACGTGCGACTTGTATCTATACAGACCTGTGATGTAATTAAGTGATGCTGTGTATATAATAATAATAATAATAAATAAATAAATAAAACGTATATATAATTACTAATTACTTTCTCCATCTCTTTTTTTTTTTTTTTTCATTTTTTTAGATATTTTGAAATTATGTTATATTTTTTAAAACATCTAAATTTCTTATTTTTTTATAAAGTAAATAGTATATGTGGTTTTTAAACTTTAAGTCAAATTTTATTTTGATTTTTAAATTTTAAAAAGTTTTAATAAAATTTTTAATTATCTAATCGTGTAACAATGTAATCTTTTCATTTATGAAATCATCTAAATTGACAGTAAATATCAATCAACATCATGTGATAATGTTAGTATCTTTTATGACAATGTTACTATCTTATACAATAGACGATGGACTAAAATAAAATTTTTTTAAAGTTTAGAGATTAAAATAAAATTTTTTAAAATTTTAATGATTAAAAATGAAATTATTTTAAAATTTTATATATTTCATATATATTTTACAAAATATTAAATTTAAAATTATATTTTTATATTTTTTATTGTAATATAATTTATTAGTTATATTTTTGTTTTTAATAGAAAATAATTTTTCTAAAATTAAAATAAGTTAAAAACATTAAATCAATATCGATTTATACAAGCTAAATGTTTTAATTAATAATTGGGCCAAAAAAAATTTTAATTTAATTAGTTTCTTTTTATCATTCCCAATATGTTTGTTTTTATTTAAAACTTGATTATAGCTTTTTACATTATTTAAAAATACTAAATTTCTATGCATATCATTTTTATCTCTCGAATTAAGAAAAATCCAAATTTACAATTCTTTTCTATGGTTAGAAGATAAAATATTTTAAGAAATAAACAAATCATAATTATTTTTATTTTTATTTTCAATCAATTTTTTATTTCTTGCAATAGATTCATCAAAATTTTTTTAAAATTTTTTTGATTAATTTAATATTTATTTTTATGAACCAATAAAATACTTATAATTTAATATAAAATAAATTATCCATTAGTTTTTACAAACAAGCGATCATTGTAGACACTCACTTTTTAAATCTGTTTTCTCGATAGGCTTCAGATAAGAATAACAGAATAAAAAATAAAATAATAAATAAAAACAGAGTTTTACTCCCAATAAAATTGTAAGATAAAAAATTTTAAATTTTGAAACGGGATCACGAAAGGAATTTGTTTTTTAAACAGGGAGAAACAGATTAGAGGATATGGGGGATTTTGATTTTCAAACCCTCGTTCACCCTTGTGCCCAGCCTTATATAAACCTCCAGCAATCACAAGAAGAGGACACAGAAAGAGGGAGAAGCAACAGCAATTGACAGTAAAAATCATAGAGAAAACAGAGGAGGAAAAACGATTACAGGAAATAATCAATTGCAACCACTAGTGCCACCACCAGCTTCTACCAAAGCAAATAGCCGAGCCTAATTCCCTGCAAAACCACCACAATAGACAGACGCAATACACTCCAATTTCTAGCCTAATTCCTAGAAAACCCATTCCCCGCCACAATTGAACAAGAATAATTACAGAGAAAAACAGAAGCCGTGCACAATCACTTAAACACCACAATCGTCCAATTTATCAGAAACCAATAGTCAAGCACAAAAATAGCCCAAAACCTATGAGTCGAGCCATAAGAAAACAACGAGAAGCGCAAACCTAGAGGGTGGCAAAAGTTAATTTTCTTTGGGGTTTCTGGATTTTAAACAGAAGTTTTATTTTAGGACCTTTCAGTTAGTAGAGGAGAGGCGATATATAGTGGGTATTCTGGTGAAATACATAGGGATGGAAGACAGTAATGCTTATGACCTACGCTGATGGAGGCAACTGAGATCGTCGACAGCTTGAAAGCTGCTACTTGATTTGTCTTGGGTTCGTATTCAGAAAGGAGACGTCGTTTGGAATAAAAAGGGGAGATAAACAACAAGAAAAAGTGTGCAGTGACGGAAGGCAGCAGTGGTCATGACCCAAGTAGGTAGAGGCACCGACGAAAAACGGCAGCTACTGGCGACGACAAGGGATAGCGACAATCAGTTCCTAGGTTTTGGTAGCCGTGTCGGAAGAGGAGTTTTTTTTTTTTAGCACTAGAAAAAGGACGGACGGATAATTTTATTTTGAAGATGGCTTTTACAACAGCAATGAAAAGCAGCATCTGGAATTAAAAGAGAGCTGAGCTATGCCTGCTTGTGTGTGTGCCAGGCTCATAATCGGTTCCAGACCCAATCTAGGTAGCAGTCAAAGCTAAGCCCACTCGGAAAGCAACTCAAGCCTGATTCCACTTGTGATCAAAACAAGCCCAAAAAAAAGTCAGCCTAAACTGATTGATGACTTAGATCTTAACCCAAATTCAGGTATTGCATTTTTTTTTTTCAGTTTTAACATTTATTTATTTATTTATTTTTTCACTTACCGTGTTTTGTTAAATTTAAGTTAATGACATATTTTATGATTTAGAAACAACAGTTAATAATTAAAAAATAAAAATTTAAACAAAAAATAAAAATAAAAATTTTAAAAAAATATTTTAAGGAAAAATTGAAAGTATTAATTTTTTTTTAAAATAAAAATTTCAAAAACCATTTTAAAGAAGAGTTGAAAATATTAATTTTTTTTAAAGATAAAATTTTTAAAATATATTTTTGAAAAAAATTGAAAGTATTAAATTTTTTTGAATAAATGTATGAATCTTTTTTAAAAAAATTAAAATAAGAAAAAAAAATGTCCGAAAAAGTTGAAGTATTATTATTTTTTTTCTTAAAATTTTTTTATGTTAAATAATCCTACTATGGAGCTCCTGCAAGAAAAATAATAGTTTTCTTATATATTTTTTATGTGAGAGAATTTTTTTAATTTTTTGCTAAAAATATTGGAATCAATTAAGAATAATTTTCAATAATTAATTATCTGATAAGATTTTAAAGGTTCAATGGATAACATGAAATCAAGCTAGTACCATTTGTTGATGGGTGTTATAGGGGTACTATAACTTTTTTCACACGTTACCATACTCTCGGACCTAGTTCTGATTTTGTAGACATTGAATTTACCTTTTGAAGATGCTTAAGTTAAATTTAGGATTTCTCTTTAAAAAAAACAGATTCAGTTAGGTGATCAATCGCACTTAAACAAAAAAGATTTATGTCAACTCCTTGAATTAATATCTAACGATAGGTTCACGAATCTAAACATTATGACAATCATTTTAAAAACAAAAAAAAAATATTTTTCACTAAAAATATTATTTTACTCAAATTAATCATAATAAAAACATTATTTTCTATCCATAAAATATATATTTTAAAATAGTAAATATCTTTTATTTTCTTTTCTCAAATATATTTTATAAAAATAAATAAAGGAAAATATAAAAATAATTCAAAAAAAATTGATTTTTATATATTTCAAATATATTTTATAAAATATTATAATTTAAAATTTTTTTAATTTTTATTATGATATAATTTATCGATAAAATAATACTTTTAATAGAACATTAATTTTTAAAAATAAAATTAAGTTAAAATTTTCAAAATGATTTTGTTAAAATTATGTATCATTTTAAAAAATTGAGTAAAAATTTTTATGTCGGTTTAAAAAATTAAATAAAAATTCTATATCATTTTAAAATATTATGTAAAAATTTTTAGATCATTTTCAAAAATAGATTTATTATTCTATTAAAAAATATAAAAACTTTATATTCATATAAAATAAAATGTAATTTAAAAATTTTTATTTTTATTTTTTTATAAAATGTATTTTATAAAATATGTTTAAAAAGAAAAAATAAAATATATTTAATATTTAAAAAATAAATTATTTGGATAGAAAATAATATATTTTATTATGACTTATAAGTGAAATAATATTTTTCATATTTTTTTTGTTTTTAAAATATATTAAAATTTTACAAAAAGAATTTGAAAATTTTAACTTAATTTTAAGTTTTGAATGTTTATTTTTTATTTAAAACAAAAATCTAAGTTATATTATAACAAAAAAATATAATGCAAAACTTTGCAAATACAATTTAAAATTATATTTTTTGTTATACTATAACTTATTAGACAGATTTTTATTTTAAATAGAAAATAAATATTCAAAACTTAAAATTAAGCTAAAATTAAGTGAGAATTATATGTTTATCATTAAATTTTGAGAGAATTTTATTTCGATCTCTTATCTGTCACGTGAGATGCTAGCTAGATTATAGCTGGTATTTGCCCTCAATTTATGTGGTTCTATAAATGAATGGATTACATTGGTTCACATTTGGGAATTAATGACTCAATTAAAATTTTTTAAAGTTTAGAAATCAAAATAAAATTTGATCAAAAGTTTAACAACTACAAGTGCTATTTGCTCTTTTTTATATTTTAAAATTATATTTTATGATTTTTTTTATAATTTTTGACATTAAAATCATGCAATTTTAACTTTTAAAAAATAAATTTTATTATTAAATACATTAAATTTATTATTTTTTATTTCGTGAAAATCAATAACACTCAAATAATTTAAGACAAAAAGAGAACAATTTAACATCAATATTTCATCAAATTAAAGGGCAAGGATAATTCAGAGTTTGTTTCATTTAGTTTTATTTTGTTATTTTTAAAAGGTAATGTTCAATTTAAATTTTAATATTTGTATTTTTTATTGCTAGATTATAATTTATTTTGTAAATAAAAAGAGATAGAAATGTATTGTATAAACTAATGGAAACACTTGGGACTAAATTTTATAAATGCAATCAAAACTAAAAGCTTGTCATGCCTGCCTTATAAATGCATTTTTTAAATATAGCACATCAATAAGTTTAACTTAAGTTTCATTTGAATGATCGATGAAGGCTTAGTCCCAAAATGAATGATAGTATGGGAAGAAAATTTTTTTTATTATTCATCCAAATGAAGCATTAATCTATCTACTACTTAGGACATTAATTTTTTTTTTTTTACATTTCATGTATAATTAACTA